ATATGTAAATATATTTTATACCATTTTACTAGAAAACAAAACTCTAAATGCCATCCGGAAATTTATTCCCTCAGAAGAACCAACCTACCACTATACTCGAATTTATTTACTTAGCATGAATAATGCATTTATTTATACTGAAATTACGACGTTCTGTTGCTGAGATAAACCAGACCCAAGGAATAGGCGATAAAGGATTCGACATCCATCTCTGGAAGGTTAGGATTCGAACTGTTTTCCACTAGAATTGCGAGAAAGTCCAACTGCCACCCTTGAAGGAATATCAGATCTTGCCTATCTGCAATAGGATCTCAACATCCTCGATCGTCGTGAGTTTGATAGGACACAGGACTGCCAGTGATAGGTCAACCGACCCGTAGAATTGAGCCTTGATCTACCCCCGAAGAACTGGTAGACATCCCTGGCATGGAACTGGGATATCCATCGATTGACATGTCCAACGGTCGAGTGGATCAGTTTACCCGCGGCCGATTCTCGTGGACGACATGTTCGACTAGGATTTAAACCAAACGGGATTAATCCTGCCCTCTGAACGCGGTTAAACTCGACCCTGCGTCGTCTACGTATGTTCGTTTGGTTTTCCAATTAATTGGCTGCTGCCTCCAGCTTGTTAAAAGCGACGCGTTGGAAGATCACTCGCGCGTGAAAGGTGAGCCGCGTTTAGTGTTGTTTTTCAATTTAAAATTTAATCGGGCTGGAACCACAAAGATCTTCGCGTCCCAGAAATTAGCCTTGTCCCGTGTTTGTCTGGATCAGTGGTTCCCGTAATATTCGCAGGCTAATTTTCAGGAAACCAGAGAGAAATTCGAGCGAAACGCTCCGTCGCTACTCCGTAGAAAACAACCAGTAGAAAAATATCATTGTTATAGGGCTATCAAACAAAATTTGTAGCATCTCTATTTGTTTGTAAAGTTAAAGTTTGTTTGTCCATATTCATTTGAAACGTGTTCATCAATAAGATGATGCTATTAATAACACAGGTTACTTATTCACAATAATAATTTATTCATAATTATATTATAAATATAAATATATCAAACGTGTGATAAATATTTATGATATGTAAACATTTTTAAATCCACTTTTAATAGTTTGGAATTGAATTTTGAAGAGTCCTATTTCTTTTAACTTTTTTATTGGGGATCCTTATTACCCTCATTTTGGTCAGAATTTGTAAAATAATTTATTTAAAGAAACCATACTTTCACAAATTGTCTACTATTGTACGACCAATAGCCTTTTATAATACCGAAGAAATTCTCTGTTTTTAAACGTTTAACTGGAATGTATCCTTGAAACGAGAAGACCATTTTTAGTAAATAAATTCGAGTATAATGGTAAGTTAGCTCTTTTGAGGGAATAAATTTCCGGATGGCCTTTAGAGTTTTGAAACATTCTGTCAGCATTGCTCAAGTGTTAGAACAGCTTCGTCAGCTATAGAACCACGATTAAATTCAGTACAATAGCATACGTCATGATGTTCGTTTTTGTTAAAGCAATGCACCATACTTTTTCTACGATTGTTTTATTGAAACAGACCAGAAACGTACAAAATCACATAACAGAAAAAAAGCTGAAAGCTATCGAGTGATAGATAGCACAAAGCTGGTGGGCAATTTTTCGGTATAAAAATAAACCCACATGGCCTCACGGAGCCGATTCAATGCGAATAATGCGATCGACGTCCATCGGGCGATTCCTGTCCCGCGACAAGCTTACCAACCGATCAATGATGAAAACTGAATAGGAGCAGAGAGAAGTAGGTGAATTCGGTGATCTGAGAAATACGAGGATACTTTCGTATAATGGCCATTACCATTCGTCATTCCCGAAAAAGATTAAAGTTAGCTCGTGTTGGATCCAGCGATCCGGCGATAAAGGGGACGAGGTGATTCGAGAGCTCGTGAATTTCTTGGCGGACGTACGCGCTGGGATGCGGTCGAAATACTCGTGTTACCTCGGCCGTGATCTACCCAGAGAATTCACCTGGAAATTCTAACTATCGATTCGTCGCGATATAATCCCAAACGCCGACTGTCGGATGCCGTTTCCGGTGGCTAGCGAGGCTGCGCCCAACAATTGTTAACAGAAGTGTGTATTGAAAGGATCAGCCTTATCAAGCTGTTGATTGACGTTTCACATCAAAGTACATGAAACGGCCAGCGTAACCGACTGAAACGGTTATATTCATCGATCTGTATTCCATTGATTAAGTGGAACATGTCCGCTGGGATTCCCGCCGGCCGGATCCCGCTACGGTTTTAATCGATAGGATTATTCTCTTCCACGCTCGAACTCGCAATCCTGTCTACGATTGTCCGGCCGCGGAGCCTGTTATTGATCTAATTTCGTTCGCTTTTCGATCGAATTGTCGCCGTGCACGGTAACGAGGCAGATTCCTCGTAGAGGGGTCGAAAGTATTGGATTATTCCATACAAGGTGTGTCTAAAATAGATGGCGAAGATTTAGTATCCTGTTCTACTCGAGCTGGCGATGAGAAATGGTTATATAATTGTAGGTTCAAAAACTCTTGTTTATCGAGATATAAACACTTTTCATTCGCTACGAGATTTCTACGTGAACTGTTATGACGCGTACAATTATGAGCTCTATCGACAAGGTCTTCTGTTAGAAGTTAATATTTATAGTAGAGCAAGTGATACTGATATTGATCTTATCCTATTGCAGGACGTACCACTGACATTACGTTCTCCAATATGGTTTATGCATGATGGAGTTTCAGCCTATTTTAGGATGTACTCTTTTTTCTGTGTTGGATAATGCAATTGGATAAACTTCCTTTTTGTTAATATTCTTGTTACTTAAGGTCTTAAAAATAGTTTTGCCAAATTGTATTAACAAAAATCTAAAAATTATCAAAGTTATATTTGTTCATATCGTAGACCATCATGAAAAGCTGATTGAACAGGAAGATTTACAGAGTATCCTTTTATTTTGAGTTAAAAAAATGAATTGGTTCTTCTTTTAAAATCTTTCTATAGATCGCGAAAATTACGATATTGAGTGCCGCCATTTTGTCAATTTCACATTTTATCGGAAATGTTATAACCGTCCTTATTCTATTAATTGAATTATTGATCGAAACTTTAGTTGCAATTGAATTCCACTACAAATTAAAGGTTAATTGGAATTGGTAACTATCTAACTATCCTTTGAACGCAATGACATTCAAATGCAAGTGGAATGTCAGAATTCAGTTGCAATCACTGTCAATTTCAATAAAATTCAATTGCATATCAATAGCAATTAACCTTCAATTGCAATAAAATTGATTTGTCAATAACAATGACCCTCAAATTACAGTAAAATTCTGTTACAGTTGAAGTTTCGGAATCCAATTTCAAATACAAATTTAACTATCAATTAAAATTAACTTTCAATTGCATTTAAATTCAGTTGTCACTAGAACGAACCTTGATTTGCAATAAAATTTAATTGCATTGATGGATTGCCCCCAATTGCAATTAACACTGACCTAATTTACACTGGAACACTATAGAATCTCCATTCATAGACGAATTGCAATATGAACTAAAACAATTTTAATCCCCTTAACAAATAAATTTAATGTCTTAGTGCGACACATTCCTCGATTATTTTATTCAACGTCATCAAACAAAATGATAAAACGATAGTGACAAAATAGTCACAGATCGAAAAGAGATCGCGAAGGATTTCGTGTTTTCACGGTTCCCGAACCCAGTTTTCTTTTCGTGGAGCGTTAAAGCGGAGCGTCGCAGAAGGGGTACAGGTAATCAACTCTGGGAACATCTGTAACTGCCAGAGTCGAACGTAGCTTACCAGAGGCTAGCCCTTGCGGTCCTCGTGTTCTATGAGGATTTAAACTAGACGTAACCTCTCTCAACCGTCCCTCTGTAATTCCTGATCCGGATTTGAATTCTCCCGTATTCGTCGATCATGCCGGGCTTCTCTGCCGAAAGACGTTTCCCCGTGCCGCCCATCCGACCCGTCGTAAGCCATTTTCATTCCCTATAAGACGATAAATCCTCTGATCAACTGGCGCAAATTGGAATTCCAGGTATCTCGGGTTTGGAGCGCGGCGACATCGAGCACCATTTTTCCCATTGTTGGCTCGTCGATCCTACGGATCGCGCGACGTCGTTCGACGGAACACCGTGATCGTTGATTCTTTATTCGGCCATTTTTTAATCCGGTCTGCCGTATCGCCCAAGCCGATCGTGCCAGCGATAAGTCATGCATCGAAGCGTGATAAGAATAATTTACCGGGCTGCGCGATAATCCTCTGACGCACGATGTCCATTTTTTCCTCCCTCCTGCGCGCGATATCGACGAATTACGATCCCGCTGAAAATCGATGGCTCGAATCACGGAGACGATGTTTTATAAAGGGTCGCGTGACTGCGATAAACCTGTAATTGCGATCACCTTCTACTATTTCATTTTCTTCGCGGAAAATGATTTTCCCCGTTCTTTTATCGACAAAATTTTCTTTAAAATGATTTAGCTTATAACTAATAAAAGAAACATGTATTTTAACACTTACCAAAAATAAGAAAATATCTGGTTTAGAATAAAAATACATATCAGTACCGTCAATATTTCATACGAATTATAAATTGTTTTCGAAAAGTCTTTAGGATTTTATTCTTTAATCAAACATAAATAGTATTGAATATATTCAACTATTTATTCGAAATAAAAGTATGCACGGTTTCGATTGAATACAAAATATACCATAAATATTTATCACGGTTAAATGCCTATCACAACCACGTTGACAAGCGTATTTTATTATTAAAAAAACAAAATCCTGAAGTTCTTTTTGGAAAAACCTACCAGTTCATCGCGGTAGAATCGCCGTTTTGAACCACCGAACGCGTTACCACGGTGTCGTTCGAGCGGCCGATTCTAAGCTGACCGCGTGAAAGGCACTGAAGTCAATTACGTAACGCAATGCCTCGTTTCTGTCGTTTCAGAGATGTGAGGAATGATCACGTGGGTGATGGTCGGGCTGCTCCTGGCTGCGGAAACTTGCGGCAGAAACGTCCTCTCCGGAAACGGAAACGGGAAGGAGGAGACCAAGCAGAAGGACGACTTGAAGGGAGTCACCGCGGACGAGGAGGACATCTACCGTGGGTATCGGTTGACGGAGAAAGAGAGAATCGAGGTAGAAGGGATCGAGAAAGGGCGGAAGGAGGCAAACAGATCTATGATTTACTCCAAGTAACTCGAGTAGCTTATCCCAGCCCCCTCGAATCCTGCAATTGAACCCCACTAATCCTCTATCCTTGCCTTCTGCAGCTTACTGATCTCACCGGCCACTTTAACTCTTTCTCCTTTCCTGCGCCGTGTCCCTACAAATCATTTTATGATCTACACACCCGACTCGTAACATACTGTTGTGAAATATCGCCGGGCATGTCGCTGCCAAGCTTCTTAAAGCGTCGTCTCCCGATAAGTAGTTAAGGTCTCGTTTAAACCAAGCACTGGTCTTTCGTCAAGCCAGTCACGTAACCACGGGATGCGCGAGGACACGCTCCGACTACCCCGAAATGGTTCCCACGCGATTTCACCCACTGCACTTGGGGAAATAAGAGGACTTGTTTGCACATCCCCTTCATTATCGGATTGTTCAGGACGAAACGCTTCTGTATAGACCGAATCTGACTGAAACTGAAGTGAGGCATCTTTTTCACGACTTTTGAGAAAATAATGGGTGTTCATAAAACATCCGAGGTCTTTTATTAGTTACTTGATAATATCGAACAATTTCTTTCATACAGATTATGGCAAAATTATTTGCCAGAAGCACATTTTTTCTTTCAACGTTTACTACTTTTTCAATTTATGTCCGATCTACCGTCTCTGGTTGAAAAACGAGAGAAATATATTACCATTTTAAAGCTTGATGCTTCGGCTCTCAAATCCTATTGAACGATTTTCTCGACGATGCTTTTCCAAGCAGTGGCAATACTTCAAAGCCGATCATGTCAAATCGTTTTAAATTCTTCAAGTTTGAAATCACGAATAGAGTTTGCCAAATTACTTTCACGACTTTTATCAGCTGAAAGAGACTTATCATTTTTTAACTTTTCCGTCTATACAAATCCAGAAGTGGAATGTTTAAACTTCGGATTTAACTTCAAAATAGAACAATGTTAAACAATTTTGAGAAAATCAGCATGAAAATGATGCAACTGTTTAAAATTTGAAAAATTCAGGTTCCATGCTTCAGAATGATTTTTACGTCGTTGAGAAACTATTCTCAACAGAATTACAGAAGTTCACCATTTTTCAACCGATTACAGAGCGATTGCTTAATAGTGTGCAGGAATGTATTTAAAATGTGCTACGTTTTACCAAACGAAAAAGTTCCAATTGTTAAAGTCTTCGGCTACGTCATTTCAACCATTTCCTCTGGAGTACGCTACTCCAAAGGAAAGAGCCAGTGAAAACAGCAACTAAAGATTTTTCAACTGTCGACAGCGCCCGTATAATGAGGTTATTTGATCGTTGGGGAAAATGTCAAGCATCGCGCAGGAGCTATTTCGATGGAATATATAAAGTTTCAAAGACGTAACGGGCCTTTGAAGTTCGATTGAAAATAAAGAACGACATTTCGCTTCCATCGACCTAATAGATCCCGGGAACTGCATTTATTTCGCTTCCTCTACGAGAAAGGGAACGTTCATCGCGAGAAAATTGTCACACAGTGGGGCAATCATTCAAAAAATCAGCCAAAAATAGAAAAATGAAATTTGAACATTTTCGGATACAATATAGTACTTGAGGATCTACTGCACCAGAATCAAATATTATTAAAAATTAGTCACGTGTTAAATCACTCTGTAGCTGTGGAATTCATTTTATATTATATTTCCTTTGTGTTACTTTACTTTTTAATGGAAATTTATAATAAATTGTACGTGACTTATACGTCAAAGGCAAAAGTAACATATAAAAGCATATATCAATTTGTCAAAATATATCAAAATAATTATAAAAGTTTATTTTAATATTGAGTTAGCTGTTATCTAGGAAGATTTTTGTTCATAATTCACAAAAACTGTATGTCAAGAAAGCTCTTATACATAAACTTTCTGAAACAAAATTAAACGGTGTTCAATTAAACTGAGCAAAACAAAATCAAGCTGATGAAAATGGAATGAAATTCTATCAAATTGAACAAATCTCATCAACACTGAACAGGACTACAAAATACTGAAAAAAATTGAACAGACCTAAATAACACTAAATGGAACCGAACGAGACTAAACGAAATTAAATAAAATTAAATAAACGTGAAATTAATCAACGCTAAATCAAATTGAACAAAACTGAACGCACCTGACCAAAATTAATCAACATTGAATAGAAATGAAAAAACTGAGCCAAATTGAACAAGATTGATGCAAACCGCTAGCTTGAGACAGCTTTCGAGGCGTGTGTCGCTGCCCTACTGTGCCTGGTCCACTTTGTGTTGGCTCGCTCGTAGCTCAAAGCGACCAAGAACTACTTCAATTCGAGCGTCGAAAGTATTAATTACGATGGCTTACTAGGGCGCAATGTGTCTGGCGTGGCCCCGGTTAACGATGCGTTCCAAGGAGGAACGCTTTGTCGTTCGACCCGACGCGCGACGTTGTGAGTTCCATTCGACGGGACAATCCATTTTCCTCCGGACGTTAAATGTACGGCGCGCAGAATTATATCGAACGAACGCCTAAGCGTGTTTAATTGTTACCACTCTCCGCCCTTTGTCTCCTACTTGAGCCAGCCCGGGCGTCTCTGAAACCCTATTACTCACTCCAACGTTCCTCTGTTGTGTTCCAGGTCTAACGTGCTACACTTGCGTCAACGTCAGCGATAACCAGGTATCGAGGAGTCCATTAAACGCTCTCTTAAGAGTCTGTAATGCCTGTATCGTGCCGGGTCCAGCCGCAATTTCGTTTAGCCCCGAGGATCGTTTCGCCATCGATCTTCACTTATTTTCGCAAACTCCGCTTCCGCGTTTGGCCCGGCTTGCGCGCCCAACCCCTTATCCTTCCTTCTTCCCTTAACTTTTCGCCACTCCGGTAGTCGTGGCTGAATTGCCAATATCTGGCGATGGGACTGAGGCCTTGTACGATTTACTGTCGATTTTTGCGGATTGTTGGTTTCGCGACGGGACGAACACCAGCAGCTGGCACTATCCTAAATGAAATTAATTTAAATTTCATTTACATATGTTCTTGATTCAGCATTTAAATTTAAGTGATCGAGATAAATCGTTTTATCGCATTCACTGCCAGGCAAATTTAAAGCGCTGTGCCTTGGGCGCCAAGATTTAATACAGATGTGTAATGTAGGTTATTTTGGTAATAAAAAGTGGTATTAAATTTATTGTTTTAAAAAGAAAATTTACTTCAATTGCAATTGAAATTTCAGAATTCTATTTCAATTAAAAATTTAACCATGGAAATTAACTTTCAATTGCACTAAAATTCAGTTGTCACTAGAATCGACCAAAATTCTCTTGCAATAATTCGTGACTCAAAAGGCTATAAATTTATCTCTGGAGTAATTGCAATACATTTGAACTGGAAGGCATCTCGTAGTTGACACTGAATGTTTTGAGTAAGTAAAACATGGCAGTAGTGATTTTACTAACACTAGCGACTAAAAAGTGACGTCATTAATACTGTATCCTAAATCAATTTAATGTAAATATAACTTGAATATTTTTTACTTAAGACTTATTTAATATCAAAATGAAGCCAGAAATAGAGATCATACCGCGAAGGGTTACGAACCTTGGCCATTTTTTAAATATATCTCTCGTATCTCAAAATGTAGGAAGACTCATACCATTTTCATAATGAACGGCTTCTATGTAACGTTTTGTGTGGTTCCGAGTTAGACCCGGATTCTCGCATAGAATAGGTAGACGCATCGTTTGGTACACAAATGACACATGTTCAACGTCCCTTTCCATGTTAATCTATTCAGGACTAGCGTCATGCATTTCCACTAGACGAACCAGGATGAGCGTCGTATATTTGGGCTGGCCGTCTAGTGTAAATGTGCGGTGTCCACGCCGAATGAGTTACACAGGCCCTCAAAGTTTTAAGTCAACGCAGAAACGACATTTGTGAAAATGTATGCATCGTTTCTGCAGTAAAAGGAACTTTTGTTTTGACCTGTTTTAGAATCAGCCGTTTATCGCAACATTTATATTATCGTCAAGAGGATATTCTAGTTTGGAATTTTCAGAAAGTCTATCTCTTTCGCTTATATTAAAAAAGAACTTCAGTTACTTAAAGAAAATACATAACACGAATAGGATATTCATGTTTCCCAACAATTAACATTTTTCACGTATGCCATTTTTTAAATATCCCATTCATATGTGCATAATATTATTTCAGAGGTACCATAGCAGTACATAATCGAAACAAGCAGTCTATTTAATTTTCACTCTATGCACAATGGTATGAATGTGATTGTGTTATCTTTATTTTACATTAATTAACTAATAGCCATGTGTATTCAACTGAATAGAAACTCATGTGTTAAAATTATTGTGTATATCAGTTTGTACACACACATTTCCCATTTAATAATGTTTGCACGCGTATCGAGAACACTGTATCGATTTTCTATGGTATATTGTGAACTCAGGGGAGGTCTATCAACTTTGCCGTAGACTTTTATTATAAGAACAGTCGATGTAAAGCTTGGTGCGAGGGTTGCTAACGCCCCGATGCTAATTCCAACTTAAGCATCCCTTGTACATAAAGGTTTACTCGAAATTGTTGGAATATCGTTTAACTCTGATAGTAACTACCGAAATTGCAAATAAGTATTAATAATTAACTTCCATATGACTGATAGACTGACTTGACTGATAAATCAACGTCAATTCGGAGTTTATGTATTTTAAACAATATAGTTACCGAAGAGGTTTATGTAATTATTCCAATTATTACTTTAAGGCGCGCTACAAATACGTTGATTCAACCTAGACTTTCCAAAGAACGTTGGCATTTGTGAACCAAAACATCTGTCTGCAGTTGCTTCTCGATAGTGACGAGACGAGATTTCTACGATCTCGATCTTCATCTCGAAAAGTCTCGAAACATGCATATCGATCTCGATCTCGATCGAGATTTGTCTCGTCTCGTGCGCATCACTATTTTTCGACGATCTAGTGGTGCTCTTAAATTGGAGCAATGTCGACGTGCACTTATGCTAAAATGGCGGACATGCATTTAATGCACGGTCGAGCGGATGACAATGAAAGCGAAGTACGTCGTCTGGACCAGGGACACTTTTCACAGGAGCTTTGCAGCAACCCCAAATCATCCCTTTCACCTCGCTCGAATCGGTTAAATTTTCATTCTTGAATCGGAGATTTATTTGGTCGTAATCGGGCGTGAAAAATACGAAATGGACTTGAAAATTAAGGAGACACTCTTTTTTCTGAGTCAAAAAGTTGAAATTTGTTTATATACTTAATGTTTAATATTTAAAAGATATTTAAAATATTTCTACCGAATCATGTTGAATATACTCCAAAATTGGAATAGTTGTAACTAGCCTATGAATATTTATGCATTTATGGCAAATGAAAATATGAGTAAATGTATCTGAATTTTCATCTTTAATTTTGAAACTATGATAACAATGCCATGGAATTCAAATACTGAGTGAATTGTACAGTGATGTGCAGTCAGTTAAAACGTTTATTCTGTTATGCAAAATTTGTTTAACACATCCGCCATCGCCATTCAATTGGAAAACCGTCGAATGCAAAACCAAGCTACATTAATAGTAATGTTGTTTAATGTCGTGTGCGATGTTGCCTATCTACCAATAAAACGTATTCGATAGATTAACTGAATAGTTTGAATATTATGTCTCACGTGATGTGACACAGTTCATTAATTTATATGGACATAAAACATCATCACTGTCACGTATATGCGATATTAGTCTATCGCGAAAATCGGATTGTGACACATATGCGACATTTGGTGGTGAACGCGCTAATTTTGATATTATTGTTATAATTTTCAACTACCTCGTCAGCCTGTCACACTATACCTTAAAAGATAATGAAAATATATTATACATAAAATTTAAGTAATTCATTTAAAATAGTATCAGTGACGTTTCCGATTAATATGAGTAATCATTACTGTTAAATATTTGGTTCATTTTTTTTTCTATAAAAATTACGATATCAATTATACAATGACGTTGAAATCAACTATATCTTGTAAATAAATCGCTATACAGAATTTTCATTCCTCATCTATTATTTCAATAAAATTTTCACGAATTTGCGATCTTGAATTTTTTAAGCTGATTTGATTCAACGATTATTCGTTTTTTTAGCACAATGGCAAAATTTAACAAATTGAAGTTTTCAGGTACACAATATTTTTTAGGACATTTCAATGTTCTCCAACAACGCTCCATTTTTCCTGAAAATAGAAGTTGTTCCTTTTTGCGATACATAGCGTAGGTCAATTGATTTTGGCTCCACTATGGATGTAACGTATCGCTACTAACAAGGACAGGCAGAGAACACAAAAATTCAGAAAATTTGGAAACATTGCACGCAAGTAAAATTGTTCGTCTATAACTGAGCTGCATTTTTCGCTGATGTCATAGTACGGTTTGGGGATATAAAATCATACCCCGAGAAAAAAATGTAGATTTCTCTTTTTCGCAAAAAAGATGCAGAATATCTCTTTTTCAAGGATCAAGTTTGTCAAATTATCCTTATAATTAGACTTTATTAATTCAAGCAGATAAACTTTTACACAATCTTTCTTTATAAATGCAATCAATTTATGTGTTCGATTTTATTTACTGAACTCTGTTACTGGAGGCAACTTGAAAAGTATGCAATTTTCAATAATTACTTGTACGCAGTTTATTTCTAAAATATGCAATCTCTTTTGAAAGTTTTCTTGGATATTCCTACCTCGAGGTTGTACAATGACTTCACGAAAACAAAAGAGAAATATCTGTATAGTTTTCAAAGAAAGGAGTTTGCACCTTCAATGTGTATTGTTATGGCATGTGTACTTTACTTACATACAATATTCCAACATTTTCTAAGTTTCCAAATTCTTGAACACCTCTTTGAGACCAAGAATTAACGTTGAAACTTTAATACTCTTCCTTGCAAGCAAGTCAAGAATTTAAAGTTTTGGATCGCTTTGAAATTGTCTGAAAACTTAAATAGTGTCCAAAATCTTGGGCATAATGAGAGTCTTGGAAGTCTTGACTGCCATGAAGATATTTAAACTTCTGGCAATGATAACCTTGTTGTTAACGATACAACTAGATTAAAAGATGACGTTGTGATAATGAAACCTTGTTTCTAGATTTCTTTTAAGTTCTTTATACTTTCTTCTACTTCTTCGCCAAAACCTCGCGCGACTCCGAGATGGAGTGGTGGATCTTATTTTACCCTCCTATCACTACGAGCTATTCTGCTTTTAACCCTTCGCATATAGCATGAATTCTTTTGGAAAGACGTGTATATTAAAATTTATTTTATAATGTGTATCATTAATGCTTATCCATGTCCTACTGTATAATTCTTTTCGCAAGTAAAAAATATTTAATATTTTAGTGAATTAAGAATTTTAAGAAATTCAACATTTCTGAAGCATTCGATACATCCAGAAGTTATTTCATTTTCAAAACATTTGATAGAATAAAAATTTCCCAAATATTTGATACTCTGAATTTATTTCATTTTCAAAACATTTGATAGAATAAAAATTTCCCAAATATTCGATACTCTGAATTCATTACATTTTCAAAACATTTGATAGAATACAAATTTTCCAAACATTCGATATACCAAGAATTTATTAAATTATCAAAACAATCGATAGGATCAGTCTTGCAAAGTATTTCGAGGGCTCTCCAATTTTATTTCTTAACTCAAGATGTCTTGAGACGATTTGACTTCCATCGTTACCAAGAACTATCCTAAAGGAAAGGAAAGATCAACTTGAAAGGAAATGTGATACCATAAGACCCTTAAGTCGACTGAATAGAACGTCTGACCCAGTACAACTCTCAACTCCTACTACGTATACATTCACCATAATCTTCGTCGCTCTGTATCGATGATTAGTATCGTATCAATACATCAGTTGTTACCGAATCCGTAACTAATCAGCGCCAACGATCCCCGTAATATACGTTTAATGCCATAATACAATTATCAGGAATTAATACGAATCAGCATTAATGCACATAGTCTCGCTATCGATTCTATTAATCACTTAAAAGGATACTCATTCCTTTTTTATCTCGAAACAAATATTCTTTTATATTCTTACTGCTTTAGGTTCTTAAAATATTCCTACCCAATTCAATTTAAAAAATTATAGTCACTTACAGAATCATCCTTCTAGGTTGATCGAACAAAACACTTGAAGGGGATACTCTTTTTTCTCTATATTAAAAAATAGATCTTAATTATATTTCCGTTATTTAAATACTTAAAAATATTTGCATGAAATAATATTAAACAAATTCAACCCACGCCTTATAAACTTGATGGGAGTTCGAAAGATAATAATGACCTCAACTGACCTCAAATTTACAAATTATGTACAGACTGTCTCTCAGTCAGTTCCTTACAATATTATTTTTGATTTTAGTATAAGCACTCATGCTGTGTATATTTCATGCAAGAAAGAGAAACCTTCCCAATCGGTTGACAATGTGTTAAATAAGAAAATCTTAAAAGCTTCCCCTGGAACATCGAATTAATCCCATTGCTATCCAATATCTGTCCATTTGGTGATTCTTCTATCCAACATGGACGACTCTCAGGGCTATCGTTAACCCAGTAGTCGCTTTCTACTTTTTTCCTTTGCTCTTTTCCTTTCCTTGAGTTCCTATACTCTGTACAAGGGAAGTTTGCAACAGCGATACAGTTGTCGCGAGCGTTCGACTGGAAGAAACCAGTTCCCGGATACTCTTTACCTGCAGAATTTTCGGAACTCTAACGGTTCGTTCCCCTTGATCTAGTCGCGGCAAAGTACGGGCATCCAGTTTTCTTCTCTTTAACGAAACCCATTCGTAAAATTCTTTTCCTCCTCCCACAGACATTCCAGGATTCCTTAAGATTGCGATGGAACCGATACGAAATGATTACGTACTGATAATATTCAAGCAATTGCATTGGATTTCTCTATACATGGAAATTAGACTAAATAATTCAAGTCTCTACTTGAATACCTCTAAACGCAGATTCATATTAAGATTTGATTGCATTTCAAGACCACTTATCAATTGAATTCTGTTATAATTAGATATGAATAAATGAATATTCCAAATCATTATATCATTCTCATGATAAAACGCATGGTTTTAATGCAATAATCGAAATTAATCCTTGATTACAGTGGTTTATTTGAATAATTTCCAATCGTTAAAATTTATCATATCCACTTCAAAACTTAATACTAATATTTTCTAGTATTACTTTATCACTTCCCTACATTTAAAATTGTTGATGAATATATTAACGTAAAATGTCTATACATCCACGTTCGCAAACAAGGTATCGTTCAGTGAAATGCCAAATTATTTAAAAAGCTTTCGTACGAACGCAAGTTTGCTTCATATGATTGGAGCAAATTACCCTTGTGTGGAATCTCCTTTGGAAAAGCCACAAGTTGGCAGCTATCAGTTTAATTCGATTATGGTCGACGCTAATCTGAAAATACGTACACGCAGACATCGAACGTTCCGACAAGAGTTTCGCCTTTGTAAAATTACTCTCTAGCTGAAAGTTACAATGCATTCTGCATTTAGCGAATACGCGAACGTGCTTTGGTGAATGTTCCGGAAACAGTCGGACGGCACGTAGGTGGTACGCTAAACAATATCCTAATCGTGTTGCGCCGAATTACGAAACTCTTGATACTGTAGATCGACGAATATCGTTAATGTGGAAAAGCGATACCGAGAGTTGTGGATAAAGGGATTCTCCGTTGTATAGGCACTGTAGGAATAGAAAAATATTGTATATCAATAGCCCGAAGCAAGCACGAAATGTTTATCAATATGTTTATCACATCGTTTCGAAACAGTCCAAAAGTTTCTTCTTAGCGGAGTTCTTTTATCTTTAACCAAAGTGAATCACCTTATGCATTTAAATAATATTTCTATTCACTACTCTCGGTCGAAAACTTGCTATAGGAAACAGGTGACACCTGAAAAATTTCTGTGTGAAATGATAGGGAAAAATTACCAAATGTACTTTAAAATATACGTAAAATATTCTCAAAGTTAAAAAAGAAATTAAATCAATTTTCATTTGTAAAACTAATGAACACGTGATGTTTGGCCATCTAGTGTGGTTTTCCTTCATAAGTGTACACCACGATTACGTTATTAAGAAACGAAATCCAGAAACCTCTTTTATAGAAGCCCTCAGTTTAATATAAAAAGGTATTTGGTTATCTGGAATCGATAGTATCAGTATGGCGTTAGTCCCATCGCTGGCGTTGGTGCGGGCCACGCGATCACGCGGAATATAAATGGTCGTCTGTGTCAACTGTCTACTAAAATTCCTACTAACCAGCGCCTATTTGTTTTTCTCTGTCTCTCTGTCCGCAGATGTGCAACGAATGGGCGATAGACACACCGTGTCCGGCGGGTGGCCGAGACTTTTGCAGATCGCTGCACATTTTGGACAGCAAAGGAAACAGCGTCTTGGCAAGCAAACTTTTTTCTCCACAATTGACCCTCCGATCGAGGCGGAAGGAACGGCACGATAAGCTCGCCGGTTGCCAAGAAATATTTAGAATCGTGGCCCAGAATACCGTCTCGATACCTCGTTGCAACGAGTTGGAACGCAAATTCTGTGTTCATTCGTGTCGCGATTTCACGGGAACGGGAATACGTAATTGAAGTGGAATTAATTATCGACGCAATTTTCCTGTTTCACGATATTATTACCCGTGTAATTATTCCTCGAACAATCAACAGTTCCAGATATAAATTGGAAGATGAATCACGAAATGATTAAAAAAAAAAAATTTGTCCGTAATTTTTACATTTTCTGTCCTCAATTGTGGATCCCAGGTCTGAAAGAGTTAACCACGTCCCCTTAAATTGGACATCCGTGTGCAATGGGTTCAAATAGCGAAGATATTCGAGATGGGCATAATTATCGAACGAACCTCTATAAATTTCAACGGTTCGAGCATTCCTCGAGTTTTTCAATCTCACGTTCATTGGAAACTGGCTAGTTTCGAGGTAAAGCACTCGAAGAAGGGGGTAAAAGAACGAACAGAATCTGCGTTCCAGCGCAATACGATGCTCCGCGTTCCTTCGTACTCGTTTCACGGTTGAACGTAATCACGTCAGGTTGTAACGATAAAATCAACACGAGCAACATGTCGACGTCGATGTGTTGCTTGGGTAGCTGACGAAAATCAATCGCTGATTCCGCCGCGCCGTGCTGATAGACGCTGAGCGTTAAATGCATTTATCGATTTCCCGTTTTGTTAATGGACAAAGTTGCCGAACCTAGTTTACGCCGGAAGGGCGACGCTGCAGGATCTCGTAAAAGCTCCCCCGCTTAGCGCTATCCCGAACTCTTTCAATTATGAACACGATGATCAATTAGACTCCCCCGCTCCCGCCCCGTGGGCTTTCCAGTTGCGAGAAGCCCTGCTCGTTGTTCGGTTAATTAATGCCTGAATATCGTATACCGCGCGTGGGAAGATCGACAGATGCCGCGAAACTGTATTTTTAAAGCACAGTACCCAGTATTATTGTCTTATTCCGTAGAACCCTGCTTTTTCTCAGTTCGCCGAGATACGTCCTTCCAGTTACTATATAGAAACTCTGGCTTATGTCGGTTTAGAGTACAACGGATACGTGGTCCTTTCAAGACGTTTCCTAGGAAACCATCCTTTTCTTTTTACGTAACTTGCGTGGAAAAATATTTTTCCTCGTACGATTGCCGTGCTCGACCACCCCGAAGACACCTCATCTCGCTTGGAATCGACGAATCTCGCGACATCGACGTCCCGTTTCGGTTGATTACTTCTTAATACGACTGGCGATACGTGTAATAAACTCTGATTTCTCGAAGAAATTGCCTGGTCTCTGCGGTGTACGTATAACATGTACGACTGATTGCAATCGGTGATAGGGATGGAGAAGGAAACATTTTAATTGACAAATAAGCATAGAATTATTGAAGAAGATTACGGGGATATATAACTTGGAATTAACTTGAAAATAACTTTCCTATTACTTATAATTATACAAGGTGGACCAAGTGTAACAAACTATAACTTCGTTATCGGTAAATTTAGAGTGAGATGTCAACAGAAAATTCGTGGCAATCCATAAATGACATTTTATCCAAATAATCTGTAATATGATTTAAATGTTTAATGAAAATTGAAAGAGAAATCGATGAATGTTACGAGATCACGAACGACATTAACAAATACGAGAGGAACAGTATTTATTGAGTTGTTGAATATGATTGGACATTTCCAACGGGGAAATCTAATTATGTGACATTTATTTAACTGGAACCAGTTTCCGAACCTGTAAATACCAGATTGTATTTAGATAATTATTTGTAAGATTTTAAAATCGTCAGCGAATAACAAGCAAGGAATATCTTTAAACTCTTAACCTACATGGTTTATAAGAAGCATGAAAGGTAATGAGCTGATACGTGAATCTGGAAAGACATCAGGAGTCACTATAACAGGTCTAGAACATGAATTATTAATTTTGACTATTTATACGCGATCAATAAGATAACTCTTGAGCAAGTCCGATAGAACCGCACGAATGCCGATAGAATGCAACTGGGATACTAAAATGTAGTGATCGATGGCGTGAAATGCTTTCTTGAAATGGGTATTAATGGCATCAACTTAGTAACCATCATCAAGCAGACAAATAGTTGCAGAATGTTGCAAGATTAATGTTGACCTAAGAGAAATCAATTTGTCCATCGCAACGCTCTTGGCGATTTTAGGCATGATGTATTTTCATTTAGGCTTACCAATAGAAAGGTTTGTAGAAATCTCGTTATAACAAATTAATATTTTTTTTCAAAAATATATGGGTAGATAAAAAAAGATCTACTTGTTTCTGGAAGAAGAAGTAATAAAATAAATGTAGACGCCTTATCATCAAAAATTCTTGAAAATCCACTTTTCCCATATCTTTTGAGTAGGAACAACCCCTGAATCTAGAATACCTAACGAATACTTCTTCCAAGCCCTGTACGTCTTTCATACGTCCCATCACCGATGTGTTCGAGGTTCGCGGCAATCGAAACGACGAACATCCTTCATGCGGGAAATCGAAGAGCCATGAATTAAACAGACGAACGTCGTAGCTTTCTAACGACGGGCGGAAATCAATAGCCCAGCCAGGAAAACCGTTCTACCGCGAAAGATCGGGAATGAACGCACGAACAAGCACATATACGGAGCAACGGTCCGCGTCCCCCAAAACAAAGCAGCGCGAAACGATCGACGACAGAACGCGTTTCCGTTTCAGGTGAGCAAGAGCTGTGCGAGCAGCGAGGAATGCGGCCCAGCCTCGGTCGGATGCATCCCGGTGGACACGCAGCAGGTGCGAAATAGCGAATTTTTCCAAGTACCTGGCCGTTATTCTCTCCCTCCCTGGACCCGACTATTCGCCACCGAGTCGACGGAGAGGGGTTGGGAAGACAGGGTCGTTGGCGGGTGAAATAAATTCGGTTATTTCGTTCCAGATCTGTATCAGCTGCTGCGACCTGAGCTACTGCAACATCGACTCGCCTACCAACGCCACCAACGCGATTTTCTCGCACAAACGGCGTGCCAAGTCGAAGCCTAAGCGCAAACGACCTGGTAGAAACGGGGTCGAGGGAAGCCGATCCTACGGAACCGGGGCTCTCTGGCTCCTGGCCTCACTCGTCTATGCATATCACTGCTGAGAGAGCAGCATCGCGGAAGAACCGGTTAGAAGACACCAAACTTGGAGACCTCGTCGAAACGATCCTCCAACAGTGTCTCGATATGCCCTCCGGGAGATCCTGGATTCGTCAGCGGGATAGTATCGTCTATCGGCACCGTCGAAACCAAACAAGCGACTGATCAACCTTTCACCCTACTCGTACACCCGTTTCCTCCTTTAATCGCTGCGTATGCACACTTACCGCCTCTCGTTGTTCCAATCCACGCCAGGACACGCTCGTCACTCGAACATATCTCTCACGCGAACCTCGCGAAGCTTTCTTTCCGCAAGGCTCTAACTATTAGGGTGTCCCAATAAATATCGCTCATTTCCGAAACTTCGTCGAACTCTAGGCGTTTTGTTGAGTTTATCGATTACTGCGCAATTTCAAATATTTTATGATATTTCCCGAACCTGAATTCCCCGAGTGAAACGAGTTTTACCTATAACGATGTTTTCGCACATAACTGTAACGAAAACGTTTTCAGCGCCGTTTGTTTACTCGGTAGCTCGTCGACTCGAGCAGCTCACTGTTTAAACGAATAATTTCTCAGTGCCTGCAATAATCGAGTCACAGAATATCGTGCATACGAATTCAGTCTTAAGTTTGAGAGAATACTTTACGATTTGTCTTTCTCTAAACTGTCTCTAAAATCAGTTTTTCTTATTTTCTTATTCGTCATTGTGTGATATCTTTGAGCTAATTTTTAGCACATAATTTCCTCGTAATGTTTATAAGATCTTTTTTTTAGATTCTAAACAACTTTCTGGATTAACTTAACATTTTTGTTTGTTATATTAATATTCTGAAAATATATTAACGAATTTTTACTAAACATTAAATATTTTTTGTTCTATACTTGATGTACAAATCTTTGTCTATATTTCCCTATATTTCTTAATATTTTTATCGTAAAATTCGTGCTAGCAGCTATTTCCTTGAGAAAATTACATTATTGTTTCTGCGTTGTGAGAGAATTACGTTATTATTTCTGCGTAATGAGAGAATATTCTAGAAACACAAAATAAATATACAAACACCTACGAAATCTAGTTTAAAATAACAAAGACACGCTATAACAAACGTTATTATTTCTGAATTATGAAATAATATTTCACACATGTAAAATAAATATTAATACGTCTGCGAAATCTGGTTTAAAAATCAAAGTCAACGTTGGGTTAATCCATGTCGTTATTATCTTTTATGCTGAAAAATTTCATGAAAGGCATACAACAAATCAAGAACAAGAATTTAAAGGTCGTAACAGTTTGACACGGAGATCGTGTATCAAAAAAATCGGTGCTTGATCCCATCCGATAGAAAACTGTTTCCTTAAGAAAACAGAGACGAAGAGTAATTCCCAGTACGACGATCTACGGCAGGGATGCGCCACTGAAATGTTGCCACAACCTGAATCGACTTGTAGTCGTAGCTAAGTGGGTCGCAGCATTTAAAACATGGATTTTTTAAGAAAAGATAAAATTTGTATACAGATTCTCTGGTTAAGTGAAACGACTTTCACCTGGAACGATGTTTTCATGGAAAACTGAAATGAAAACGGCTTCACCACTGTTTGTTTATTCAGCCCGAGTAACCCGTCGACTCGAACAGCTGACGCTATAAAAGAATAATATTATCCTTGGCTACAATAATCGAATCTCGGCATATCATACATACAAATTTTCTTTTTAATCCAATAGAACGCTACTTCTAAGTCAATTCTTATTTAAACTAACTGTCTTCGACATCAATTCTTCTTCTTCTCTATTTGATTCATATTTACGGGCACGTTGTCTTCGACACAAGAATCTGTTTTAAAAACTGCGCTACAAACTGACGAATTGAATTTTTTACGATCAATTTACATAAAACAAAATTCCTTTTTATATCGCTGAAAATAACAAAGCATTCTAAATCAATTTATTCAGAGTAGAGAAATTGCTTGAACTACTCGACTTGCCCATGTTATTCTACGAGAAATATTGGATTTCAATATTTGTTATGATTATTTTTTGAATTATGATTTCATGCATTTAATTAATAAAGTTGAACTTCGTTTAAAGAAGATATTTAATTAATAAACTTATGGAACACTACAGAAGACCATAGGTGCTCTATCCCTGGTATGGACTAGCCACCGGGTGACTTATAATTTTAATTATAGAATTATAATTAAAATTTCAAAAACATCACATTTCGATATTCACCTGATTTTAAAAATAAGCATAGTTAATTCATTGGGATATTTTTTATTTGAAATGACAATTCGTTTAATTGTCATCTGCAATAAATGTGATTGCTGCATTTCTTACATAAATACACAAAAATTTTAAGTTTTAGCTTCTGAACAATTTGTGGCGAATACTAAACAAATTCAATTTTGTAAGACTGAAAAGTAGCGAAACGAATCTTTTTAAATCCGTGTTACCTACGTCTCTTGCTAATGTCAAGACGTTTTATATCTAAGAATTTACAAAATGACCCAACCGTTAGAGGATAATACGCCCTACTATCAAATCATATTCTATTCAAATTATGACGTACTTTTTCATAATTTGAAATGATATCTGATTTTCCAATAGCAATTAAAATTTTATAAAAGTTTTACAAACCAGACAAAAAATCATTTCCTCTATTTTCTCTTAAAAAACAGAAAATGAGGTAAATTCTTCGTTATTCCGTTCTTCTTATAATTTTATTTCTCTTATTTACGACTAATTTGTATTCATCATGAAGCTTCCTTTTCTTTGCCCACTTTCTTGTCAATAATTTTCGTTCTCTTTTCTTAATTTCACCAAGTAACACACAACTCGTGCAAAAAAACTACCACGACGCAACCGTTTGATAAATTTGTCTCGAGAAGTGGGCGTATTGTCCAGTTTCACTGTACAATTAATTTCGATAGGTGTTTCAAAGCGACTGAAATTGCGCAATGGTTTTTGGGACACCCTGACGTCTCTGTTTGTCCTCGTCGACGGTGCAAGATAAATTGCGTATCGCAGGCGGAGTCGTAGCGTATTATTACACGTCGACGATGCATCTTAGCGGCGTAAGGTAGCCGAATTAGAATCCTTCTCGTCTTTCCCTTCGTTAAACCGGGTACCGAAGAATAATCGCTCATTCGCCGCCGAACGAAAGCGCCAGAGGATCCTCCCGAATTATCTCGGAGGACGATGAAAAAACCCTGTCTGCGACACTTGTAGTCGACGTTCGAGGGCCGTTCGGAGTCTCTCAGTGATGGAAAAAAAGGAATTGTTCTCTTCTCGTAGTAGCGTAGTTGCTATGCCTTCTTAGAAACGAAAAGAAATCTATGGTGTAAGTTCGTGTTTAAGGATCGAACGAGCTCCCGTCGTCGCCGAAAGGACGAAACGAAAGATCACACTTCCGCGCGACTTACTTAATTAGTTGTATAGGCTCGGTTTCGTTTCGATCGGATGCGTGGCTAACCTCGTTTCGATAAAACGAAACATTCGGACGCAACGGTAGAGAGAAAAACGACGATTCTCATTTCGGAAGCCCTGATTCGAGAACGTCATTTCGTCTACGCGCGAGAAATGAAACGTTCGATAAACATCCCCGCTGATTCGTTCAGAATTTCGGTACCTGCCGATCGATCGATCGTTATCATCGAGGCACTTGTTAAAGCGAACCTGCAAACATTCGCAAACTGTTTCGTTTGGTACGGTGATTCTTAACCTCAGTACCCCGAAACAAACTTTCTCCAAATCGTAGTCAAAATTGACGTTTACAGGTCTGAGATAAATGGTGGAACTGGAAATGGAAACTACGCAATTTCCCCATACTGTTAATGAAAAAATTATTTTCCTCCTGCTTCCAAATATAAAATTATAGATATTATTATTATTTATTGTCGTTTGCTTTGTGAATTTACAAATACTACAACTGATTTTTACAAAATTTCAAATTTATTTGAATATATCCTCCCTTGTAGAACACAGTAAAACACAGACATCAATTTGAAAATCTTTGTTTCTTTAGATTGATGTTTTTTTTTACACTGCTTTGCTAAAAGAACCCAAATAATACACAATCAAAATGTTTAAAATAAATTTATATTCAAACCGATGCTTCTTTCAGGTCAATTTATTTCTTTTACTCGATTTAATTTACAAGCAATATATTATTAACTTTTTATTAATAGAATAATTTACGGTTAAAAACTACACCGCGGGTTTAAAAAGGTTAAGAACCACTGGTTTAAAACATAAGGTAGCAAACCACATTTCCCCATTCCCTTCCCGAGTCACTCACCATTGACTGGAACCCCTAATTGTAAGTGCTCGTACGAATCGATGATTCTCTCCTTTCCTGTGAAATGAATATACGTGTATAAACACTTTGAAAAGTCGTTCGAACATGAGGTAATTCTTGTGAATATTTAAAACGTTGCACGTGTGTCTATTAATCCTACATAATTATTTCTACGATACTGTTTAATCCCTTTGTATCCAGGGAATCATTTTTTATACAAACCAGTTTCAAACAATTCATGTTATTACCACATCCAGTAAGCTCAGTGAATACATTACTTGTAACTATGTTGAATTAACAATTTTAATTAAATTTAAAAAAAAATTTCGTTTTCAAACTTTATCATATTTGCAACAAAACAGACTGACGTTCAAAAAAGTAAAGTACAATCATCGCACCTACATCATGGTACGAAGGGATTAATACAACTTTTCTAATTCATCTTTTGAACAAACTAATTACATTTATAAGTACTTCATATGTGTTACATAACTATCGTATTATTTCTTTTGCTGAACCAATTTTAATCTGTCTAATGGACAAGACAAAATTCATAACTATTCCTAAATATTGTTTACTGCGCTGCTTATGATATTAATACTATTTATTGAAACGGCAGGCCTCGTCCAAACGAACCCCGTAATCTTAGAAAATTTCTTTGAAACAGTGAGAGCGTTTTAAGTTTGTCTCGCAACTACCTCCTCGCGATACTCGATTTTCCGATTCTCCGGGGGAAAAGTCCGAGACTCGGAAGCGACACTTTGTTCTTTCCGAAATCAATTTTCTTTGCGACTCTTGTCGTACGAGCAGAAGCGAGGACGTTCGGTTTCGTCGGTAAGAAGTTTCTTAAAGGGAAAAGTTGACGCGTCACATGCCGGCGAATCACGAGCTCGCTCCCGTGCAGTGTTTGGCAAACAGGTATGCAAATCACGAATTATACAAGCGTGGCGCGCGCTCGGGTTTGAATTATCGATAAACTGGAATTACGCGTACCTAAAAGCTGTTTACATACCTACAGACTCGCCTACTACAGACTATTTATTGCTATTACGATCACTAACAATTATATACATAAACAAATAAATGAATGAATGAATGAATATATATATTATGATATAGAAATTATACATTGTTTCGGCATGAAGATGTAAGAATACTGTTGGTAATGAAATAAAGAAAACTATACTTGTCAGACTGCCATTTGCTGAATTTTCTTGTGCGTTTTGGATATTATTTATCATCCTGTTTATGTTATTTTTTGCAACGTTATCCTCTTTAATATCGATAAGGTGCCCAAGTTGATTTTAAATTCAACTGAAGAATCATAAGCTGAAATGGAAACTTTTTTTGAACGGTCAACAATTCTCTTGATTAATCAAATATAGTGAAGATTATGAAACCTAGACATTATAATTCGTGTTCGTTTAAAATTATATCGAGCAATACAAACCATGCATTTTCACAGGTAGCATAGTTTGCTTCAAGTAAAATATTGATAGTTATACATCGAAGATACATGCTAAAAGCGCATAGAAACAATTTTTAATTTAATCATTACCCAAAATCAACTGAATAGTCTTGTCAGCCTAAACAGGAACCGTTTACTAATTTTGACGAATATCGATCGGTCTTAATATTTGAATATAAATAACTTGAATATAGTTACAATTATTATCTTCCTCTATGGTTAAAATGTAGTATAATTTACCAATTTCAAGGGTGTTTAAAAATGAAAGCAACCACGAATCCTCATTTCCACATAATTATCCTTATGAAATATAATTGGTATCTAACAAAATGATTTTTCAAATCAAATTTCATCGACTTTGTAAGCTTCGATTATTCTTATCGAGAATCGAATATCGCTGGTCGAGAATCACGTGACGTCCTGTTTTTCCGTTCAAAATCTGCCAGACGGAGCCACCGTGTCCCGCGCAGGCGCATTGTCAAAATCTATATTAAAATGGAGGAAAAGAGTCAAGTCGTGGAACGAGAGGCTAAGAAGGATGAAATTCATGAAAAAGATGGGAAATCCAAAAGGTAAGTGAATGATAATATATTTCACGTGGAACATTTACTATTCGATTTTCGAATGACACGAGTGTAATATGGTTTCCTTTGATACACTATACACGGAAGCTATGGTTGGCCGGCAGTTCTGCGTGCAATTTATAATAATTTTTCCGCTTTCGCCACGTAATTGTCGCTAATCTTGGAATTATGCAATCTAACAATAACACATCTGCATCCTGTATCTTCATGTTTTAATATAAAAAATTATATCTAGAATCTAAGATCATGATCACGCGTCACAGTAACCTACTATCAGCCGCTCCAAACTGCAGTACATTGCTTTATAAATGTTGCAAAAGTTTGCGAGCATGGAGATATGTGTTTAATGATGTTAATCAATCATATTTCATTTAACTTTGAAAAATACACGTTCTGATAATAAAATTCTGAGTATGCCTCTGACCTTTGTTCTTTCCTTCCTCTTTTCATTATTCTTCTGTGTTTTGCTGTTATGACGTGAGTATGTGGTGCGTGTGCTTCAGTATGTTTCATTGATGCTACATAAGTGAATGAAATTGAAATGATTAAAATGCAGTTCAAAGAAGGGACATCGCAAGAAGAAGAATGAAATGGCGCATGCCGCCAGTGAAAACCACAACCATACCGGTCATAGGTATGAGTATGACATGTATACCACCTGTAATCCTTCGATGCACGATTTACAAATAGCTATGGAAGCATTCAATCTACAACAAAAACCTGCTAAGACTCAGGAAGAAGCTATGCAGAAACCTTATCAATTCTGGAGTACACAACCAGTGCCAAAAATGGGTAAATAACAACATAAACTGCTGTACGATTTATGTGCTTTTGTGAAAATGAAGACACGTTATCAATTTCATGTAGACGAAAAAATTGTGAAAAATGAACCTATCGAACCTGATAAAACAGCCATAAGGCCAGAACCGTACTCATTGCCAGCAGACTTTCAATGGGATACATTGAATCTTGATGATCCTTTAGTTTTATCTGAATTATATACTTTGTTGGCTGAAAATTATGTGGAAGACGATGACGCTATGTTTAGATTTGATTATCCACCAAAATTTTTGAAGTGGTAAATAGTAACAAAAAGTACTAATTAGTAAAATACATAGGTTTATTTTAAGTCAGTAGAGCTTGAGTAATACCTTTTAGGGCACTACAACCACCTGGATGGTGTAAGGAATGGCACTGCGGTGTACGAGTAACTAAAAGCGGACGTCTAGTCGGTTTTATTTCCGCTATACCAGCTACACTTCGCGTATATGATCAGTAGGTTTTGGATATTTTTCAATAATTTGTTCTCTGTCATCTAATGCCAGCAAAATTTTAGTACTCAGAAAATGGTGGAGATAAATTTCTTATGTGTGCACAAGAAGTTAAGATCAAAACGAGTTGCTCCAGTTTTAATTCGTGAAATAACTAGGAGAGTTAATTTACAAGGTATCTTTCAAGCTGTGTATACTGCTGGCGTTGTATTGCCAAAACCAATAGCAACTTGCAGGTGGGCATCCGAATGTGATAATAGGCGTCAGTATTTCTGATTATTTAATCGCGAAATCGTTCTTATAGGTATTGGCATCGCTCTCTTAACCCAAAGAAACTAATCGAAATAAAGTTCTCTCATTTATCTCGTAATATGACTATGCAGAGAACTTTAAAACTTTACAAGTTACCAGAAAATACAAAAGTACCAGGATTTAGGAAACTGGTACCAGCAGACATACCACAAGCTCACAAAATATTAACCGAAGTAATGATCACTACAGGAATATTATATAAAAGTTTTAATATATCATCGAGTTAATTTATGTTTCAGTATTTGGAAAAGTTCGACTTGGCTCCACTCTTTTCAATCGACGAATTCCAACATTGGTTCCTTCCACAAAACGGAATAATCGATAGTTTTGTAGTGGAAAACAATGGTATAATTACTGACATGGTTAGTTATTATACATTGCCAAGTTCAATAATGCATCATCTGACACACAAAACGCTTAAAGCTGCATACAGTTTCTACAATGTATCCACTACAACTCCTTGGCTCGAACTTATGACCGATGCTTTGATATCAGCGCGTAATGTAAGTTTCATAGATTGTAGTTGTGATAATGCAAAAAAATTACGTATCTATCCTTTTCAGCTCGGTTTCGACGTGTTCAATGCGTTAGACCTAATGGACAACAAAGAATTTCTAGAACCTTTAAAATTTGGTATTGGTGATGGAAATCTACAGTATTACTTGTACAACTGGCGTTGTCCTAGCATGACACCCGGGAAAATTGGTTTGGTGCTACAGTAGAACTCTAGGTCAACGAATCGTTGTCTAGAAAATAAATTTTTCGCACGTGCAAGCTTACCAAGAGAATAAGTGGTATAAAAGGGGAATGGACGTTACAAAACTAATAGAAAGGAAGAAAAGCGACGTTGAAATGACAGCGAGCACGACCTCGATTCCTACCGATGAGCGTCCAAAGCGCGTCCAACATTCGAAAGGAATCGATAATTGTTGAATTAGACAGGGTGGATCTCTCGGTTCCACGGATGTCATCCTCGTATCCGCCTTCATTCATGATCGTGACATTAGGTCAAGGTCAAGATCGGAATACGCTTGTGCAGCGCGTGTGTATATAAGTATGTGCGTGACTCGAGCAATGTAGATAAATATCGTACATTAGTAATTTGCAGAAGCCTCGCGGCAAAAGAATTCTCTTGGAGTACATCAGCCGCGCAGGCATTTACAATTTTCAATAAAAGCTCCTGGACGCTATTTTCTGTAACCCGAAAACGGGTTATTCTTTCAGCATCGTCTTGATTAAATAGGTCGCATAAGTATGCCGAAGTGAGAGTGGAAGAGATGAAATAAAACTGGGTCGAAAGTAAAATGTTCCCTGTGTTTGTTTACCTCTTTTGTTTAACCCCCTATATTTTGCTCATAGATTTTTATTTCTGTAGTACTATATTTGGTATTCGATCACGTGGATTCTTGCCTTCTAAGGAGAAAGCCGCCATGTTCCCATTACTCATATTACTTTTTATACCGCGAAACTGCTAAACAAATCTGCAAAATTATACCCCATGGTGTAACAATTTTAACCTTTCAAAACATTCACTGTAAGCCGTACGATTCCCTATAAAATAACATAGGTCTGTCAGTAAGTCATGTAATTAAAAGTACCTTATATCGCTAGATGGCGTCATCATTTTTTAATACCGATACGATCGACACGTACTGTTTTTCAGGTCATACGAAATATAATATGCATTAACTTCAATCAGTAACTACCTAAAAATAAGTTATTAACTTATTCTAGGGGTGATCTAGTCTGGAACTTTCAAAAAAATCGATTTCTTTTTACATTTTCTCAGTGTAGACCTTTAAAAATATATCTGCCAACAGATTTTGTTGAATTCGAAAAATTAACGAAGTTGGTTACTAGAATCAAGTTTATATGGATCCTAAATTTCAAATTTATTTGCAGTTTTTACTACAATTTCTTCGTTGGTAATGATAAAAATGTACAAAAGTGACATGCATTTTCAACAAGCAATGTCTAAAAACGTGGGAGTTCCCCTTTTTACAGCAAATTTTTATTTTGAACAGTCCTTATTTTTAAAAATCTATTAAACCGAAAACCGTGTAAATCGATGGTTAGGTGTAGTTTAATCCTTCGATAAATGATCTATTTTGTTTCTTATATGATGCAAGGTCTTGATGAAAGCAGATGAAATACGATTTTGCTGTATTATTGTTTTGCGAATTATTTTCTCAACGGATCCAACGAACCCTGGAATCGATATCTGCATCGCGTAATTATTGTTCACCCTTCCCCCTGTTTTTCGATACATATACGTACACAAGCGACCTATGGCTGTCACAGGTATAGAAGGGACAATATAGATATGGATCTCGCGTCTGTCATATTTATTTCTGTGTTTAATTACTAACGTTTTCTTGATTATCGTAGCTAGGTTTTGCATCGAACGAAGACATCGCTTCCGCCGTAGGAACCGTAGCTCTAAGTCGCGTCGGTAGAATATAAATTAAACTAGCTTAAACTAAGTTAAGTTAGTTCTAAGGCCCGCGTATACAATTGTCAGTCCTCTACCAAATAATTATTAATCAAGTTCGTTTGGTGGTTCATAGGTCCATATTGGAATCGTAATTTCGATAAAAATTAATTCTGCGCAGCCGTCAATCGGTTTGGCGCGTGTGACCAAGCGCGTGCCGTAAAGGTGGAGAGGTAACGGGACCTAATGACTTTCCCCTTAAACCGCACGAATTCGTGTATCCAGGTATACCTTTTCTGCATGTTGTATGATATAAATTTATTTATTGCACTTTACAGGCGTATAGCTCTCATAGAAGAGATTTGACATCGTTCGCTTTAGCGCCGCTTTCTTTATTGGTACCTTCGGACAACGTCATTGCGTAACAAGGGACCTGCTTCCGGCGACGATTAGATAGCGGCGAGACCAAAAAGACACGGAAAGAAACCAGTTTTTAAGGAGTGTCATTAAGGGAAACACCGCTGTTTCGACCTCAGTGTCAAGAGTAATTTACGGTTATTCGAATGGTGACATCGTTACGTTGACGTCGAATCCTGAGTCGTATATTTTCGGAAGACGACACCTGTGATTTTGTTCGACGAGTACCTCGAGTAGCATCTGTTTCTTCATTACGCCAGTGTATGCCCTTAATGGGAGTCAAGGTCTTTGTACAGCCGCTGCAGATCAATATGTAATACACAATGTACGCACGAGCGTCATGCAAGGTCTCTTCAAGATAAAAGACGCGAAACGATGGCCCTGTAGCGATTAAAGCAGTTGACGTTTGCAGGCTCGTTTAGAGGCCAAATCTCGAGCATTCGTGTACGACAGATGTTCCAAATTATTAAGCATTGATTCAGTTTTCACTAGGCCCAACCCTAACCGTTGGAATCGTTCTCTTAAAAACCTTCGACATCGATTACATATCCGTGAACGAGTACGCGAAGGACTAAATTGTTATAATCTTCTATTTATACGCGACATCGACCATGGAGTTCTGTCAAAGGTGACGGAAAGCCCCTGAAAATTTATCTATATCCATCGTTAACAGCGTAGAAGGACGTTTATTGTTACCTTGGTCGTTATCGCCCTGTTATCGTGGCGCATAACAAAGAAACTCACGAAAGACAATTTTAACACCCTTGTAAAAGCGTTTCGTCTAATCAATTCGGTCGTTAAGATTAAAAGGGTACATTCATTACCTCCGGGCTCGATAAATTGCCGCGCCGTTTCGCGGGAAACATTAATCATCCTCAGAACACTTAGCCACCGAACAATTACAAATGAAATTACCGATCGACTGTAAATGTAACCTTTCAAGGAATTCACGAACGATCTTACCTCGCGAAATAGGAACACGACCTTCGTGAAAATACGTTCGTTTTCCTTATTTTTTCCTACGTAAAACTGTATTGCAAAACACGTCGCAAATTTCCTGTAAAAAGATAATCGAGAATAAGCTTGAGCTACCCGCATACGCGCACGATAATAACCTTATCCGTTACGTACCATATCAATTAGCAAAATGTGTTGCTCGCTATGATTTATAACCACTGCACAGTTTTAAAATGTATCAACCTATCGTACCAAGACTGTTGGAATGCGATACGAATATCTATCGCGTCTCGTGAAAACTACACGAAGGGTTCTAGGTGTTCGGGATACATGGAGCGACCATCAAAAAACCGACGGTGCTAAACAGAGCGTCCAACCAATCGGAAACACCACGTTCCATCCATGCGAAGAAATCTCGTCAACTCTGAAAAGGTGATCGCGACTCCATTGTCGGCCGACGTCCCGATCCAGATGCAACGTTATCGCTCATCCTCGACGAGGGTCTTCGACGCACGTTCGTTGGGCCGATTTCATTGATCGTGCGGTGCGTTCCCATCGGGAGGCCCCGGTGCACATTTATTGTCATCGGGATCGCTAACGCGCGATGCCCTTTTACGCGAAGCGCAGGGAAAAAAAGAATAAAGGAATAGAAAAAACGGAAACGAGAAATCACCGAACAATACCCGGAGCCAGATAACAGCACCAAGCGCTGACGAGCACGTAGGTGGGGAACACGAGACACACGATGTGGAATAAATAGTGGCCTGAAATCGAGCGGAATTCAGTCGCACCGCTGTTGTACTATCGTCGTTGGCGTTCATTCACGAGGAACTCGTCAGAGGTCATCGTGAAATCGGTCGATCCCACGCACCGTCAGGAGTAGAACGATAAGTACCAGCAAGCGACCTGTTCACGTTACATCGTCGAAAGACTACCACGAGAGTTACCAGTGCCGACTGCCTTCGATTCATGGTCCTGACAGCCCAGTCTGAGAATGATACCGTTTCTGTTGCCCCTGCTGCTGGCCCCTGTACTCCTGGCCGACGGATTCTTTTTCGGGTACTTAACACGCGCGTTGATCTCATTGTTGGGATGCCTCGCGAACGGTAGCCTCGTCTCTTCCCTCGCTATACGAGTCGATGCAGCCACGTGCTACGATTTTTGTGCGCGCTACGAAACAACGTATTTACAATTTCGCTAGGGAAAGACGTCGCGAACGTTTGCAAGCACACCCCGGGGCTACTGAAATACTCGTAAAGCGTTCAAGTTCAGGACTGAAAATATCTTATCTAACTCGTGTCATTGGCCGCGCTCGACTCCCGGTCCGCTAGGTTCCTCGTGTTTCTCTTTTCAGCTTCAGACCGGTCACCCCCAAAGATGAGGACAGAAGGGGGTTCGACGTTTATTGGAACGTGCCCACCTTCATGTGCCACAAATATGGGATGCGCTTCGAGGAGGTGTCCCAGAAGTATGGGATCCTCCAGAACGCGATGGACGAGTTCCGAGGGGGACGGATAGCGATCCTCTACGATCCTGGGATGTTCCCAGCGTTGCTGAAGGACTCGAACGGTAACGCTGCGTTTTCTGCATATGCGGGTTACCGTAAGGGGCGAGGTGTACTTGGAACATGGAAAAACTGAGTTTATATCCTTATATACATTTATGAAAAAAATACAGAACGATTAAGTACAAGATACACGGTCAGTCCCATAAGTATTCGTACCCTCTATGTCTATCGAAGACATTTGTCGAAATTGTATAATTGGTTTCATGTTTCCAAACAAGTATTTTATTATAAATATGTACACGAAGAAACTTTACATATGAATTTTTCATTATATAATGAAAAATTTATTTGGAGACATCAAACCAATCATTTAATTTAGATAAATGTCTTCATCCGGCATAGAGGGTACGAATATTTATGGGACTGACTGTATTTAATACGAGAATAATATTGATATTAATACCATAGTCAATCATACAGTCATTAGATCATAGGAAATATATATTTTACTCCAGAACGAAGCGTAATTTTATAGTATAAGTATTCTTGGTCCATTTATCATAGTAAATGAAACTCTCTATGTCACTAAATACATATTCATGCAAACAAATGAATAATACTAATACATCACACATCAAAATAATCATTAACAGTGCCGAATACCATGCATGAAAGAGTTAAGGGAAAAGGATACTTTTGAAAAATAACTTTGATCGTTATTCAGGAGCAGTTGTGGCAAGGAATGGCGGCGTTCCACAAGAAGGCAACCTCACCAAGCATCTGGAAGTATTTCGCGAGCACTTGATCAATCAAATACCCGACCAATCGTTTCGTGGTATCGGGGTGATCGACTTCGAGAGCTGGAGGCCAATATTCCGGCAAAATTGGGCTTCCCTCCAACCGTACAAGGATTTCTCCATGGAGATAGTTCGCAGGGAGCATCCATTCTGGGACAGTAGGAGCGTCGAGCAGGAAGCAAAGCGGAGCTTTGAGAAGTACGGAAAACTTTTCATGGAGGAAACATTGAAAGTTGCCAAGGAGACCAGGCCGGCTGCCAGTTGGGGCTACTACGCCTATCCCTATTGCTACAATCTGACACCGAACCAACCCAGTGCGCAGTGCGATAAAACGACAGTGCTGGAGAATGATAAGTATGCGAATCAGTGAGAGTTTAATGCTATATTTTCGAATGGTATTCCCAATGTTAGCGACGTCTTGTTTTGTTACATCTCCGATCGATTAAATTAGGTTGTTGCATCGTAAACGTCCCATTTTTCGATCTTAGGAAGTTATCTTTGTTTTGCTGCTTCATCGTGGTGACAAGTGACACTTGTGATAAGAGAATCTTTGTGCAGATTCATATTATCACAGATACTTTCAAAAATTCTTTATAAGGAGACTATACTATGGATTGTTTAAACTCTCGTTATGTTTTATTGAACATTTAAACAAATAACTGTTATTCTTATAATGTCATTAATAGACTGCGGATATTTATTCAAATCCATATTTTTACTGATACAGAAGAGGAATTGAAATCCAGTGTACTTGTGATATATTAATTTAAATCTTTTAAGGGACACATTATTTAATGATGAAGCACCTGTCGAAAACGTCTTCGAAGTCAGAAACAAACATGTTTATAAAAATAGAATAAACGCAGTTGTACATTGATGGCAAAAAATATCGAACTGTTAGAGTCTATTTTAATTTCTTACAAAGATTTTTTTAGATCTTCCCTACAAAATTAAACATTTCATTTGCAACGACATTATACTAGACGATCGACTGACGAATCGGATCGCTCGGTGTCGCTTTCGTCCGTCTCGTTAGCACCTTCCGCCAGGTGACCGCGTGCTCCAGTTGCCGTCAAAAGTCCCTCAAGGACCGAATGTAACTAGATTACGAGACACTCGTCGAGATTACCGTACTTAGGCCGAAATGTGTCAATGTCAAGGACCTCGTCGCGGTGAAAATTCATACTCGAGACTCTGTTACATCCGTCTTATCTAATCGGCCCCGATAAGGAACCAGCGTTCATCCAACATCGTCTGTTTCTCTTTTTCAGGATGTCATGGTTGTTCGGGCTCGAGGATGTTCTCTTGCCTTCGGTGTACTTGAGGTGGAGCCTGACCAGCAGCCAACGAGTGGGCCTCGTCAGCGGTAGGGTGAAGGAGGCCCTGAGGATAGCGCAGCAAACGACACCCAGGAAAAAGGTTCTTCCCTATTACTGGTACAAGTACCAGGATCAGAGGGACGCGTATTTGAATAAGGCGAGTTCTCTCGTTTTGAAAACATTTCAGGGGATTGGGAGATGCGTCACCTGATAACGCGACGGGTCGTCTTTAAAACGGATTTATCTTTGCAGGCTGATCTCGAGGCCACTCTTCGGAAGATCTCGGATCTCGGTGCCGACGGTCTCATCATTTGGGGAAGCTCTAACGATATCAACACCAAGGAGAAGTGCCAGCGGTTCAGCGAGTACCTGAACAACGATCTGGGCCCCGTCGTCGATCGCGTCAGGCAAACTGCTCTGAGCTTGACCCGATACGACGGCCATGCTGCGGACAATCGAGTGGCCGTCGTCGTCGATCAAGTTTGACAGAACGCGGAGATTAGGATCTTGTTAGAGAAATGCGACGGGGGTCTTTAGTTTCTAATTCTTACGTGTACGATTATCATACATGACGCGCGTGGAACAGTTCGACCTTCGATGGAGAAAGACGCTGGACGCGAGGTGTATCGCTGAAACCAAAGACGACTAGACGAGACGTTGCTTTGCAGGGTCACACGACGCGGTGTTGAGCAACGATCGAAATAAATTTCCTACGAAATTATCGCTTCTTTCATTCTCCCCTTGGAACGCGGAGTCCGCCATTGACGGTTGCGAAACTTCGAACTCGTCGCCATCTTAATATTCGTCCCCTGATCAGATTCTCCGGTTCGTCCGTAACGATGTACTCGATGGATCGATACGAGGACAAGCTTCTCATCGATCGATCTTCTGGACCTCCAAAATCTTTATCACCGTCGCTGCGAAGCACAAATGAAACTGGCGGTCGGAGCTCGCGACGAGCGCACTTTAGCACTAGCGTACGACAAGTTTTACTGGTTCGAGGTGTAAGGCCTCGGGCGATCTTGCTTTTTACAGTACACACGACGTCGTTGTAGAGGTAGTCAAAGATCTCTCTTGCTTACCGTTGATTCCTCCCCTCTCCATCTTGTTCGGAGAGTGATCCTTTCTCTTTCTGTTTCCCCGAGGATACCTGAAGGAACTGGGAGGACGAGAAAGATAGAGAACGGAACGGGAACGGCGCGGAACCGAACGTACCGAGTAGAAGGAGGAGCTGAAGGAGACTCCAGCGGTGGTGGTGGAGGTGGAGGAAGAGGAGGAGGAGAACGGAACACGAGAGATCGGCAGCACAGTTTCGTGTTCAGCTCAGCTCGGTTCGGCTCAGCCTCATATCGGATCTCCGTGTTTCGAGGCAAACCGTTCTTCAAATTTGTTGCTGCAGATCGCCCCCGATCCCGACAGTCTCCGCTGCTGGGACAGCGGCAGGGGTTTGCCCGAACACCGAGTGATATTCGCGTGCAACACCGTCGACCATTCGTTCGTACGGTCTACTGATCATTCCTCGGCATAGAGTGGTGCGTAGTTCGCGACGTCGCTGACGTACACGGAGGTGAGTGACAGTTTCTTCGGAAAAGCCAAGGCTGCTGCCGCACGCTGGCCGGTGGCTCGAGATCGTTGCCAGAGTTGCCAGACTGTGATGTGTGTGCTCCGAGACACCGTGCCAGTGATTCCGTCGGGTTATTGCCCATAGCCGCGAGAATTTTCTACCCAGGATACCTCGTAATCGTAGAAACGGGACCATGGTTATTATTCCGGTCCAGGCCTTCGAAAACGCTTCCGGCGACGATAGGCTCCCTCGAGACGATGCGACCGATCTTTTCGGTCGGGCATGAAACGAGCCAGGGGAATCTGTGCTTCCAACGAACACGGGATACATATTTTTATTTACGATTCCGGACGATGGATCGCACAGGCTAGTGTCACGACACGAGAACCCCTCGGGTCTCGGTTCCCCTCGTCGCTGATGTTCTTCTCGCGCAACGAACACCCGAAGGCAGGTCTCTTTCAGGTGGTCTCCCGAAAGCAAAAGAAAGTTAACACCAGCTGAGCAAGTCGCGATGATCACAGGCTCTTAGAAAGTGGCGAGACCGTGGCCAAGGGACAGGGATTCTGCCGGCTAAATAGTTCAGAAGCACCCTATCCAAAACGTTTTGCCCACTAATCTTAATACCAGACCCTATTCTCGAGTTAATGATAGCTCTTCTTAGACGCAACAGTTAACTTCCAAGCTGAACCGTTGCGCGGTAGCCGACTCGCCATCGGGGTCCTTTCTAATGAAGACCTTTTGCGACTGACCGGGCTTGCCACTGTGCGGTTAATTGGCTAATCCCAAAAATATCTTGGGATTAATTTTTAAAACACGGTGTATCGGTGTCAAGGGTACCTCGATCGAAGGTATCACGCGAACACCCCGGGCTGGACATACCTTTTCCTATAATAGAAAATTATATTCGTCCACGGACGAAAGAGTTGCGACAGTTTCTCGATAACCGAGATGTGAAATCGAGACTATTGTCGAACGTGTTTCTTCGTCCCACAAACATCGTAATATCGTTAACCGGTCTCGTCCCCCGAAGTGGTCTGTACTTAATTATATCTTACGGTGTGCTTCTTATTGAAGCTGCAGGTAGTCCACCTCGTCGAAGCTTGGGACCAACTCTCGCTAATGCGACCGTGTTCGCGCCTTTCGAGTAATTGGACCGCAGAAAATGAACAATAACATCCCAGGTTTAATTGGCGTTTTGAATCTCTCATTAAGCCGTTCGGTTAACCTCTTCTGGTTTGAAATAAGTTTCACGTGACCGTGCGATATTCCTATTAACCAGCTGGTTGAAACCGTAGCTCGTCTAGGCTGTGTGGGCCGTGAGGAACTATGAAAAACTAAGAGGCTTCCGGGGGGTCCGTGACACTTGATATCGATATCCATGAGGTCAGGCTGCGAGAGACGACCGAAACTAGCTGTGTCATCCTCTACGGGTATGGCGCCCGTACCCCCAGGTAACGGGTTATCGGTTACCAGAAAAAATCGTTGAAAGAACCAAGTACAAATTGCCGCCTCTCCGTGGGAGGAACACCTAGCAACTGGTAGATTGCGGAATCGGCGAGATAAAGGCCCCCTCGCTGTTCCTTTTTTCTCTCCGATCGACTTCTTTCGTTCGCGATCCTCGAGGGGGGCCCTTTTCAAAACGAGTGCCCGGTGAAACGGCAAGCGGTGGAAGAGAAAATCGGATCGAGTGGGACGGAGAACTCGCTCGATCGTTTTTTTTATTCCGTTCGCTCGTTAGAAGACAGGGAAGACGCGAGAATGAGAGAACGAGAGAGCTAGTAGCGGTCAGGCTCGAGGAAGACGAAAGGGCCCGTTTTAAAGAGGCGAGCATTAAAAACAACAATGTCATTACATTTTAACGACCTGTTCTTGGGCTCTGCCCTCCCTTTTAAGAACGTTCGTTTGCAGGTATGTGGTCCACGCTCTCGCGGGGGCCACCACACTGGGAGTGAATTCTTAAAGCGGTGCGCACACCAGCTCCCTGCTTTTTTCGCCACCTCTTCGAGCTCGAGGCTTTGCCCGATTTGATTCAGAGCCCCAATAAAAAATCTTAGGGACTTCCTAAAATAACATGTCGACTCTGTCGAATTTTCAAACGTCCGAGCTCTGCGTACGGTACCTCGCACATCGACTCCATTGACGCTGGCCAGAGACTCCCTAATCTCGGTTACTTTGGAGAGGATGATCGAATCTGACGTTCAAAGTGTCGAGGCGGCCGGGCGTTGAAATTTCGACGGGCTTAAAATCGCGATCTAATCGAGGGAGCGAAGAGGGTGCGAAAGCAGCTTAATCCGACACTGGCCGCTGCATAGGGCCCCTCCAGATCGGGCCCGTACCCCCTTCTCCGAGACGATCTCTCCCCACGCACTCCGGACACGCCGTGCAGCTCGCGAAGAATTAGTATGGGCGAAGTAACAAAAGCACGAGGAACAAGCGCGGGGGGCGTGCGGTGAGTGGCGGCGAAGGAGGAAGAAAAAAAAGGAGCCGAGATGGCGCCACACGTCCAGCGTGTTTTCGGGGCATCCTCCGGTGCTGTTGGCAAACTCCTTTTTTTTTCTCCTTCTTCTGGGTCCCCCCTGTTTCCGTCTCGCTCCTTCTCGCCCGTAGCCGGCTCCAGTCAGCTCTCTCGCTTCTGGCGCGTTGTGCGCCGATTCCTCTTTTATTTCGCTCCCCTTCTGGACCCTCACCCTGCGGGCCCCCCTATTAGTTCGGCCACGGCACCGTATTGCCGGGAAAAAAGAGGAGCAAAGGACGGTCGCGAAATGCGAAATTAGGCTAGACCAAATCGAGAGATAGGGATTTCTCATTAAAATGGAAGAGACCGTATTGCGCTCCGAAATTATCCTCTAATCTATGACAATGATCGGGACCCTCGTGTTCCTCGAGCAATCCTCTTCGGTATTGGCCTTCGTCGACGTCGGTATCCGTAACGGATGATTTCACGGTGTAAACGGATCGTAGGCGTGCACCTTTCTTGCGCCTCCCTCGGATGAGGAGTTTTGAAAAATAATAAACCTCGACCGTCGTATAGTTCGTTGTTCAGGAGTTTTCGGGGCAGTTCGATTGGCTGACGAGTAATAGCGACACCTTTACTCACACGCATTTTCGTCATTGGCTGAATCCGTTACATTTGCAAAGCTACCGCGTAACAAAGTCGGCGAACAAGACATATCGAGATAAGTTCATTGGTGCCTCGCCAACTCCTGAGCAATATACAATACCAGCGATTCTAACCAGATATGGTCACGCCTAGCTAAAGACTGACCGAAGGTGGTGGAGAAACTACATAGTACAGTTGGTACCGCGGAGACGGTTCCGCGCCTATTCGCCCGCCATTGGTCGAGAAGCTCGAACCACCACGATCCTAGCGTTTCTTCTTCTGTTTCTTCGTTCCACCTCGCGTACCTTTTGTTCCCTTCCTTTCGCGTCTAAGTACTGCAGCAAAGAGATCATGAAGCCTCCCGTGCTCGAAGAACCAGGGCCGTACAAACTCTGAACTTCGACTGTCCCCTAGGCTCCTTCGGGAATACCTTCCACGCTGACTCATCGTCGCCGTTCACCTGGCACCAGCTTCCAAAGCTCGTTCGCTTGTACCTAACAATCCTTCCTGGCTGGCCGCTAAATCATATTCCTCTTGCCTAATTGATCAGAGGCTAGAACCCGGCACCAGCCAGTCGGATGGGTCCCTAAATCACGAGGGCCCCGAGAATCTTTACCGTTGATTCTCCGCGCGTTCGCCGTTCAGTCGTCCAGTTTGCCAAACATAATTCTTCTCCCGCCGGGGCGAAAAGTCCGAATGAAATATGAATTCCTATTAGGCGCTTCCTGGAAGCGGGGCACGTCACGTCCCGCGGGCCCCCGCGCTCGCAGTTCTGTCGTAGGTGTTAAACTCGGGAGGACGGTTTTAATCCGGCGCTTTTTAAAAGGTCCCGCGGGAACAAAGGCAGCGACCGAACGAAACAGATTCCGTTCGTGGCGTGCACGGATCGCGGCGCCCTTTGTGCCAGCCCGCCTAGGCTCGGGGGCGCGTCAAATTTGGTTGAAAATCAAATTAATCTCGCGGCTGGGCGCAGGACCCTCTCCCGACCCCCTCTTTGGGCCTTGCTGCTCTCTCGCTCTCTCGCCGCGGGCCAGCCCGTCCTCGTCCCTCGTTCA